GAAGGAAGGAAGGAAGGAAGGAAGGAAGGAAGGAAGGAAGGAAGGAAGGAAGGAAGGGAAGAGATGAGAAGAGAGATAAGATGTGAGCCATTCCCAAATATGAATTTATCGAGGGCAGTGCCTATTCATTTCTAAATTCTCTAAACCCAGTGCTTCCTCCATGCTTGCCTCTGCAATCTCTTCCTTTGCTACATGTATGCTCAGGTTTCCAGGTTTTCCACATACATGTGGATTTTCTGTTCCTTGATCACACCTCTCCTATTTCATGACTCTCTCTCATGACTCTCATCCCCTTTGTCTGCCTCAGTATTAGTTTAAATCTTTGACCAATAATATCCCTCACGGCTCAGATTCTCCTGCCACTGGAAAGCCCTCCTGCATCCCCATGTCTGAGCAAGCTTCTCTTCCTTTATGTTCCCTTAGCACCCCGTATTTTTCTGTCATAGCACTTGCCAATCCAATATTGTAATCTGTCCTCGTCTGTCTCTCTCACTAAACTAAATTCCAGTTATGGTTTCATTTCCATCATTTAGTACAGGACCTGGCACACATGGACGGATCTTTAAGAAATGTTAGTAGAATCAACAAGTGAGAGAATGAATGGATGTACATATAAAATGTGGATTAAGCTCACACATGGCTGGAGCCCATCTCCTGGAATATGATAGCAGGATGTGAATTTGCAGGCAATCCCTGGACTGACAGCTGACCATGAAGGTCTCTCACCGGATTTCTAGCTTTGGCTGAGGCCAAAGAGCAGAATCCAGCTCCATCCTTTTCCTAAAAAGCAGGGTTATACTGCTCCCTGTGAGAGGGGGTCCTTTTTAAATCTGACTTCAACTACCATCCCCACAGTTAGATTCTCCCCACCCGCTCCCCATGAGGTGCATCAAGGACAGAATTATAGAGCGCCTGGTCCAGGGATAGAGGCTTGATTGGTGCAATGAGTGGAACCTCACTTAGGTATCACCAAAGACAAAAGCCACACACTCCTCACTGATGTAAAGTCAACTCCCTTAATTATTTCAGCAGTCTTTTTTTACTAGAATACGATTATAATTCCAAATGATTCCTCATTACAAATTATGAACACAGACAACTGGTAACATTTTTTAAATGAACAAAATATTTTTAGGTTCTCTACCTTCTTTCTCAGTACCCTGCTCCTCAATCTTCATAACTTTCCCCTGAAGCTTTCTGCTCCGAGAAGAATCTTTTTACCAGCTCTTGCGGTTCTGCAGCTGGCTCATAAACCCACCAAAATGAGGAATTATAAGGCTCAAGGCAGTACTTCCCAAAGTATAATCTTCGGACCACCTGTATATAACCTCTAGAGCCTGCTTTCACAACTCAGTGCAGTTAACCAGATTGTGTTGGGGTGTGGGCCCCAAATGTCACTCTTAACCCCCTCCAAATGGTTATTATGTGCTCTCAGTACCCACACGCTTGACGATTCCCAGGATTCCCAAGTATTTTAGAGAAAATAACCTTAGAACTTCAAAGTAATGAATCTCTCTTTACATATCTGAACTGAGGATGCCTTGCTTCTCCATAAGACGTAGCCTGGCTCAGATAATCATCTATGGAGCAGATTTGCACTTTAAGATCAAGTGGGTTAATGGGACCATATGGAATTGAGATCACGCCAACTTAGGGGGTTATTGACTCTGGCATCTGACATCAGTTTAAACCTGAAGCCAGAATTTATGAGCTGCTTAGAGATATGTTTTCAACTTCCAGGAACTGAATGTTCTTGGGGTAGCAAACACAGTTGGACATCTATAGAACCTTAATAGAATTACTGGCCCATGCAGTGGATATGCATGATTACCTGAAATACTGGAGAACATGGAGAAATATTAATGATTCTAAAGAATTCCATCAAAGTTGAAGAATCTGGTTGTAAGTTGAATTTGAGTAGCATCCAGAATTAATAAATATGTGAGCAATGCCTTATGCACAATGGTACTAAATAAATATAATAGTAAACAGATAATATTTGTTTCATGAATAAGAAAATTTCAAGTAACCTCAGAACATTTTTCTTCACAAACAAGCCATTATTTTCCTATAAAGACAAATTTTTTACTAGCAAAAATCGTATTTATTTCTTGATCTGGGTAACTTTCATACGATGGTGAAATTTCTCTGTGTGAACATTATATACAATAATGAGAATATTGCCATGTTCCCAATAGCATATTAGTTCCTACTGTAATTAAATGAAGTGATGATAATCTCTTCATTTAATTACAGATGAAATATTTTCACTAAAAGTCGGTTCTCATGTAGAAGAAAACGTAGTTTTGTTTCTTACTGAGAAAAAGCAGTCAGTTCTTTCTTTTCCTATATATGTTTGGGCACTAAGATTCCAGAGAGAAAGAATCTCCCATCAAAGGGACATTTGACTTCCACCCATCTTCTGACACCTCAAAGAGTTCCATTCAAAGTGAACTGGCGTGACAGTCTGTTAAGACTGAATCAGTGAATGCATTATTGCCATCGCTCATTTTAGATATGCTGAATACCTCTAAAGGGATGAGAGATTAAATTTGTCTAGGCGCACCAATATGACCATTCTTTCAAAAGCATATGTTAGTTAATTAAAATCTGTATATCTTTAGAAATAATACAATATCAAGTATCAGATATTTCACAGAGCCACACATTAACAAATATACACTCTTGCCCTTCCCAGATGATGTTTAATTAAACAATGATAAGAATAGTGAAAATTTGAATGTAAGACACATTATGTTGAAAGAAATGCTAGACTTTGGGATTTTAATTTAGATGCATTCGGTAAAGATTTATTAATTATTTACTCATATCTATCACCACATTAAATATCAGTCATTTAAAGAACAGTAATACGATACCATCTTTGCCCCCATACAAATTCAAATTCAACAGGGAGAAATAAATACGTTAACAACTATGACAGTGTGCGTTAATTGTCACAATATAAGAATGACTTTCTACATGAAGCTTTGGAGTTCTCATGAAGATACCATTTGAGTTTAGCTTTGAATCATGAGGAAAAGGGTGTGGAGGGAGGAGCATTCACATCAGAGAAGCTGCAAGTACACAGTGCTGACAGCGAACTCAGTATATTCGGGTGATGGCTATAAGGTCCGTAACTGCCACATGGAATGGATGAAGAACAATATCTCAGGGCCACAAGAAAGTCACCCAGGACGCTTCACAAAATAAAACTAATTTTCAATAGACTCTTTTCTAAACCAATTACATAAAATTTCTCAATAAAAGTGGGCAATATGAAACTTTCCACCAAAATAGGAAATGTTTGTTGAAAAATAATACAATCTTATGACCACATACCCATGTGAAGCTTAAAATTCCATTTTACAGAATCATAAACATTATTTTTTGAAGTCACGGGCAATTCATAATTATAAGGAAACTAAACAGGAAGAAGACAAACTAGGTCAGCAATTGAGGGCACTAATCATCTGATCCTATCCAGTCTATTTTGGAATTTTGAAGACTAACTCTTCCAATATGTGAAATTAGAGGACTGGCTTTTTTTTTTCTAATATAAGTGCAAAAGTAACATAAAAATAAATTTAAAACTTTGGAGTTAAAAGTGGTACGTAACTATTGGGCCATTTGAGCAGCATGAACAGTCTACTATGCCTTGTCTTCAGTATCACACAGCACTTCCATCCAGTATTCACAGACATTCTAGAAAAACATTCACCTTGTAATAAAGCAGATAAACATAATATGCTTTGCCCACTCCTCTGTCTATCTTCTCCTTACATTCTCAAACTAAATGCAAAAGATTCTATAGAAGCTTCTTTCAGTTGGCTGAAGAGCAATCTTTGTTTTAGAAAAGGAAACTTTACTGAAGTACATAAGAGATACGATTCAAAAAAAGAGATTTTGATTCTTCACCTTCCAGATTATGTTCTCATTTTGACCTTTTTACTTTTATGATGATGTGTTCCCAGAATGCCTGCCATTTTTAATTATCTTTGACTTCCACAACCATATGGTGTGTTAATCTTATGCAATAGGATGTTCATATGTTTAGAACACTGTATGCAAATATGAAAAAAATTAACTGCAACATAGCATGAATAATGAAATAAAACTATACGTTCTTGGATAATTTTTGGAGAATTTGCATCAGCTCAATATATCTTTCTCCCCTCTACATGGACACTC